CCCAATTGTCCAGATATATGCATCGCGTTTTAAAGAGAGATTTATTGAATAATCGTTTGAAAACCATGCTTATTACAGCGCAATTTCAAGTGACACTCCCCCCCCCCACACACACACACACATACACCGCCTCCCCCGCATGAATAATCATCGTGTAGGTTTCAGGAGAAGGGAGTAACTTTTTCTTGCATAATTCCTCTCCGGGCATTTTTTTAAAAATGACATTTTAACAAAATAGCCACCGCACGCTTCAGATTTTAATATTTTCCTAGCACAGGGTAGGCACGTTTGACCATCTTTAAGACTTCTCCTTTCAATCCTCTCTTGGAGCAGTGTTAAAATAAACATGCAGAGGCATCCTAATAAATAAAGAATAAAACCTCATAATTAAGAATCTGTCTCTAAAATGCACGCTGGCTAAGCTGGCGAGAGAGAGAGCTTCGCTTTTGGCAGCATGTTCATTGCCTAAGTGATTTTCCTGGGCAAGCTTAACCTATATGCCTTCCTCCAGTCGAGAATTTAATAAACAGACCTGGACAGTAGCATCATGGTGTTAGCCAGCTCCTCAGACATTTTACATTTGCCTCCCTTCTGTTGAATGGCTCCACGTTGGGGGGGGAGATACACCCCTATTCCCTTATACTTATGAGTTGTCTTTCAGAGCTGATTTACAAGCCACTTCTCCGAAGGGAGCGGTGATATACAGCATTTATCAACCAGAAACATACCTTAGGAAACCATGGAGATAGGCAGAGGAGTGAGGGGTCCCTTTCAAGACGAGAGGAATTCTGTCTTGTTTCTTTAAGCAGTTACTTGGGTCCTTTTCTTGATTGATGCTTGTTTTAATCTATTGCTTAGCGCTCCCAGGAGAGAAAAGAAGGGGTCTCTCCTTTGTGCACATGGGTAATGAAGCAAAGCATTGGGGGAAGGGGAAAAAGGGTCCCCCCCTTTCTTGGCTCTCCGCTTGGGCGCTCAGGTAACAAATCCCCCCTCCCCAGTCCCCAGATCTGCATGTGAAATTGCCATTTCACCCCTGCACACTCCTTAATTGTTGGAAAAATTATTTGTGAAATTGCTTTCCACCAGGAGAGCGGTGCACGCTTATTACACACACACACACACACACACATTCACACACACACTGCATGGAATTCCCCTGATGCTGACAACCTGCCTCCCCCGCTATAAACCTACTCCCCACCCCACAGGCACAATTAAAACAAAATAGGGGCTGTTTAAAATGCCAGCGCAAAAGCAGGCAGATGCCATCTTTGCCTCGTTGGTTCACTGACAAATGCCCAGTCGTTATTGGACTCCCGCTCTGGAGTTACTGCTTTGTCTCCGATGCAATCGTTCGCAGCTGAAAGTTGGAAATCAAGTGTCAAATGGCCACACACCAGCCCCGAAAAATGGGAATGGGGCCGCTGTTATATCAGAGCGCCTTCGCGCGGCGCCTTCATCAAGCGAGATTACCCATTGTGTGCGGAGATGTTTATTACAAAAACTATATAGCCACGGGACAAAAAGGATGAGGGAAGAAGGAAGGGGAGGAGGAGAGATGAAGTCTCAAGTGTCAACTCTTTCTCGCTTCTCCCTGCTCCTGTGGGCAGGGTAAGAAAAACAAATCCTACCTATGAGCTGAGATTTTTATCCGAGCGAGGATAAAACCTTCGAGCTCTTTGGAAGGCGCCACATTTTCCAAATCATCAGACATCTCTGTATGACTAGGTAGACATGTCCAGTCTCTCTAAGGAGGTGTTAGAAGCAAGAGGTTTAATGGGGACACTTTTTCCCCATTAATCAGCCAGTGAGTTAGCAAAATCAGAAGGCACTTAAGTGTCAACTTCATGTGTTCCCCCTCTGCTCCCTCCAGCAACGCCCTGTTGAAGTGAAGATACTGAATTGGAGCAAGGCTGAAGGAATGCAGTTAAATACCGGTCTGCAAGTCCGTCCAAACTGTTCCTTTTTTGCATCCCTCGCCCCGCATCCCTTAACAGCGTGCGTGTCCTCAAAGTTTAGGAGGCGAGAAGGGCTGATAAAGCACACATTTGAAGCAATGTGACTCTGAAAAGAAATCGACACGATCCGTTTTGTTTCTCTCCCTTCTGAAAAATAATGTTGTGGAACAAAATTGTAACTTTAAAAACAAGGAGCATTCTGTGGCACCTAAAGGCATGTCTACACTGTGGAGATATTTCAAAGTAACTCCCATTATTTCGAAATAACAAGACGTGCGTCCACACTATCTGTTATTTCGAAATATTTACTCCTGCTTGTGAAGTGGGTTTTACCCACGGAAGCTCATGATTCTGTATATTGTGGTTAGTTTCTGAAAGGTGTCACAGGACTGCTCGCTGCTAATTAAATAACTCTCTCTCGATATTTAATTCAAATTATGTATCTGAGAGCTGAACATCTTTCAAAATCCCCTCCTCCCCCACCTCCAGCACACGCTGAACGATTCAACTTAAAGGTACTTTTAAGAAGAAGGAATTCTCTTTTATGCCCTGAAAAGTGTCAGATCTCTCGGGCCCGAGCATGGGAGAAGTGCGAGTGATGGAAACATTGAAGAAAAATTGAAGAAGAACGGAGGGTCGCTTTTTAATTGTTGGATTTCGGCTCTGCATTGTCCACCCTAAACGCCTCGGGCATGGAGAACTTGTCTATTGTGAGGACAGATTATAGTTGGAGAGGGCTGTTCTCGCATTATCGGAAGGGAGCTGGAGAGCCCTCATTGTTTCATTTAGCAGCATATTAATTATTAGTAGGAAACACAAACCAGGCGGGGAAAGTGATCAGAACCCTGTATTTGCATGGGAATTCTTCTCTCCTCTGGCTGCTTTTCCAACCGGAATGTTCGCTTTCGTTTTGGGGGGCGATCCGATTGAATGGGAGAGAGTTTGAGGGACCTCATTGGGGTTGCCACAAAGTTCCCCCTTCCCCGGAAAAAAAAAAAGAGTTTGAGGGACCTCATTGGGGTTGCCACAAAGTTCCCCCCTCCCCGGAAAAAAAGAGAGAGAAAGAAAAACTGCAAATGTCGTTTCAAATAAAACGTCGCCCGTGATTTCTAGGAAAAGATCCTTTTACAGCTGCAAACAAAAGAGTTTGCAAAGCCCTGGCGTCATTCCCTGCTGAGAAGGAGGGTTTTTCCCCCCCCTTAAAGTCCCAAAGCAGCCACCTTCAAGGGAAACATTTGCTGTTTGTTCCAACTGTCCTGGGTCAGCGGGACAATCCCCCCTTGGGAAGGCAAAGCTCCACCTCTAGCTAGTGGGGACAAGCCAGGAGCTCGGCGGCCAACGACCCTGGCGTTCGGTAGCACCTTCTAAAGGAGGGGCCGATCCTGCAAAAGGATTTCTCTGGGAGCAACTCTCCCCTGAAGGAGTTGTTACCCAGGGGCGGGAAGAAAAAGGATAATCGAGGGGCCAAGGGACGGGTCGGTCGGACCCTGCCTGTCCTCAGTTAAGAGCACGGATAGGCAGCCACTCGAGGTACTTGAGTTAACAGACCAAGAGAACCATATAGACCACGGCGAGGCGTGATCCTTGCCCGGCTCCTTAGGAGAAGTTTCTTTTTCTTTTTCTTTTCTCACACAACACCCTTTGCCGCTTCTCAGGACACCTGGCTGCTGACTACCCGCCTGCCCGTGTTAGGGGTGGAAGTCACCGCAGCCAAGGGGGCTCGCCAAGGAGCCCAGGGAAAGGGGGCAGGTCGTTTGGCGGCGAAGGCATTCGTGGGGGGTTCCCTAAGCACACACAAGCGGTGACAACTGGGGCCGGGGCAGCATCGGCTCCTTTATTCCCACCGAGCACGTTCGCCCTGGACTCTGCTCCCCTCCGCCTGCCCGTGTTAGGGGTGGAAGTCACCGCAGCCAAGGGGGCTCGCCAAGGAGCCCAGGGAAAGGGGGCAGGTCGTTTGGCGGCGAAGGCATTCGTGGGGGGTTCCCTAAGCACACACAAGCGGTGACAACTGGGGCCGGGGCAGCATCGGCTCCTTTATTCCCACCGAGCACGTTCGCCCTGGACTCTGCTCCCCTCCGGAGGGGTCGATCTTAACCCTGCTTCGGGGGGGGAGTTGGACCAGCAGATTCACACGAGTAATGGGGCTCAGCCGCCCCTCTCCCCAGCCTCCCTGCGCCTGCTTCTCGGCGAGCCAGCTGCTTGGGTTACTGAGCCTTTACTGGGGCCAAACTCCCCTGGGCATCTTGGTTGCCTGTTAGCATCTCTCAAGACACGCCAGGGGCTCGGGGCTGCCCTTCCTGGGGCTAAGCCCTTGCAGGTCCCTTCTCTGGGGGTGGAACGTGTCCCCCCTCCCGGGAGATGCTTTCCCCCAAAGCTCTCCCCCCCCCCACCCCACCCTCCAGTCTGTGTTGGAAAACTCCCAGGCCAAGCCCCGGCGTGAATCCCCAACCCCAGACCAGCCCTGCGCCCCTGCGTGGGGAAGCTGCGTGCTGCCATTGGTCCCTCCGCCCCAAAGCAGTGCTCCTTTCCCCGCTCATGAATAAAAGAACAGCGCCGGAGCCTATCACAGCTCACTCGGGCGCTCTCTCCTGCCTCCCCAATGCGCCAAAGTTCGGCGCTTTAACAACTTCCAAACCCTCCAGCTGACATTACCCCGCGAACTCCCCCTCCCCTCCCCGCCCTCCTCTCCCGAAAACAACCACCCCCTAAGTGATCACCACACACTCACACACACACACAGCAACAACAACACCAAAATAAACCAGAAGGGAGGGGGGAATCAGTCCCCCCACAAGCCCAGCCCAGCACTGCGACCACTTGGGATGTGCCTGCTTCCCCCTCCAGTCTGTGCACAACATTCCTGAACAGGAAACTGTAAGAAGAATTTCGGGGGGTGACTTGCCCCCACCTTTCCCCCGGTCGGAGCAAAGATTTCTCCCTTGTGTGTTCCCAGGGCTGGGAAGAAGGTGAGTCCTTCGCCTGGCAGAAGGGAGAAGACAGAGGCGCCCTTGCAGCTCGCGGGACTTCGCTTCGCTCCGCGCTTTGATTTGTGTCTCTTTGGAATCCAGCCTGACTTCGGCATGGCAACTTTACCAGGGACCGTCCCCAGAATGATGCGCCCCGCGCCGGGGCAGAATTATCCCCGCACTGGGTTCCCTTTGGAAGGTAGGTCTGGAGGAACGTCTATATTTAAACTGGCTGGCTCGAGTCGTTTCTAAGCAGCTGTCTGCGGACCTTTCCCTCCCTGCACTGTCCATAATGCAACTTTAGCGTCCAGAGCGGGGATCCGAAGCCAATTCCCCGTTAACTTTTAACCATCGAGTAGGTCTTGTTTGAGTAGGTTTTTTGCAGCAGCCGGCAGTGCTAGCGTGGGATTTGGGGGTGGGGTGGGGTTCCCCACCACCACCACACACAGGCTGGCTCGTCTCTCCAAAATCCCACACCCCTAGTCTGAGTTTCTCCCAAAACTTTCTTGCTTTGTTGCCGGACGCGAGTCGCTTCGAACTTGGGAAGCGACGGAGTTGGCTTCCCAAGGACCGAAGGACACAGCCAGCCCTTGCGGAAGGTGTGTGCGTGTGAAAGGGTCCCCTGTGAATGACAATCGTGCGAGGACTGAAATAGGCCAACCTGCAGCGTCTGGGGAAGGTTGGGGGGCTTTTTAGCTCATTAAAGGCCCCTAGAGCTGTCAGATTAGGAGTGTCGTTCCCCCCACCTCTCGGCGTTGCTGCATTAAATTCTCGATTTATCCGCCCTTGCATTGTGTGTGTGTGTGCACATTACCTTTATTAAAATTATTTCTGCCCAACCTGCTGGCTGTGTGGCAGAGGCAAAATTAGCGCGGGACCCCTCTCCCTGCATTTATTAAACCCGGGAAAGGCAGGCAAGCCGTGATCAAGTGGCTAAGCGAAAACCGATGGAAACCCACGCAGGCTGCAAAACACACAAGCTAGTGAGATTTGCTGAAGTGCTTTTCTGTAGCAAATGAAGTAAAGCAGACGGCAAGAGATAGGATCAAAGGATTACAACAATATTTGCACAACATGACTGGGAATAATGAAAAGAGAGAGGGGCCGGTGATTTTAGTACCTCTTGAATGTAAAATTGGCCACTCGAGTGTTATCTGTCGATAATGATGTATCCAGAGAGGGCTGGCCGAGTGACTTTGAATTAGTGGTGCATGATTCTTATTAAATCGTGCGGCAATTTCTGGAAAAGACTCTTCTTTCCAAAGAGAAACTCGGCCTCCCGCCTCGGCTGCCTCACCTCCCACCGTCACCTCTTCGCAAATTATGCAGCTGAGTTCTTCGGTCTTTTCGAGACTGTGAAATTGTATTAATCTGCAAGATATACATTGCAAGATATTAAACCCATTGAGGGTATCAGATCCGGATTAGAAAGCCCGCTGCCCCCACACCCCTGAAAGAAAATTCGGTGGAGGTTGTATTAGGATTCTGTGACTAATGCGAGCTCAGCGCCGGGTGTTAAAACGGGTCCCATGCAAAAGAACCAACAATTTGCTATGCCAGTTTGCGGTGAAAAAAAAGACGGTTTCCGTTGCGTTGCTTCCTTGAAATTAACAAAAAAATATCCCCTTCCCCTGTATACATAAAGCAAAGAAAGCGACAGAGGTCATTTCCATAGTTTGAGTTGCTTCCTTGAAATTAACAAAAAAATCCCCCTCCCCTGTATACATAAAGCAAAGAAAGTGACAGAGGTCATTTCCAGAGTTTGATTTTTTTTTAATGGACTTTTCTGGGATTTGGAGCAGGGATTAAAATAGCGCAAGGAAACTTAAAAAACCAGTTGTACACACCGTTGCATGTCGGAGCTAGGTTCGTCCGTTTGCAGTCTCGTTTTACAATAGGGGGCTAAACAGCCGTCTAACGTGATCGATCAGACATTGGTCGTTGGGAGAGGGGGCAGAAGGCTTGTTATGTATTGATAGAAAAACGTGCGCTCGCTTCCTTGTTAAGGCTACAGAGAGCGATGTAGGCGAATCGAACTCTAGCTAAAAATTATGCCGATGAACCGAGCAAAAAAAATATACACGAGGGGGGGTGGACATAGATGCAGATGAAAATGCAGACACCGATCTACCGAGACAGTGAGAAAGATGGAAAGATTGCTAGCAAGAAATGGAGAGAAAGGTCTGCAGCCATCCAGAGGAGTATCTGTGGCTGTAAACACAGCTGACATAGGGAAAATAGAAACACGTGGGGCTGTGTATGGTACAGGGAAATTAACAGGCACAGAGGCAGACGAGACGGTCTAAGTGCATCTACCAATGCCCCTGACTCAACTTTTCTCCGCTTTCTCTCACTCCCCCCGGTTCTGAATTCTAGTGTCGACTCCGCTGGGCCAGGGCCGTGTAAACCAGCTCGGAGGGGTGTTTATCAATGGCCGGCCTTTGCCCAATCACATCCGCCACAAGATAGTGGAGATGGCCCACCACGGCATCCGGCCCTGCGTGATCTCCAGGCAGCTCCGAGTCTCCCATGGCTGCGTCTCCAAAATCCTTTGCAGGTATCAGGAGACCGGCTCCATCCGCCCCGGAGCGATCGGCGGGAGCAAACCCAGGGTGAGTGCAAAGCCAAGCCGGGGCACCTCCAGCCGGGCACTGGGGGCTCACAGCTCGGACCCCGCGGCTGTGGAAGCCAATGGAAACAAATAGCTCCCCCTCCGATTGGCTTCCGCGGCAGCAGGATCGGGCTCTGACTGTCCAGTGTCCCCCCACCCCGTTCCCGGTGCAATTGCCATCAACTCCGATTTCCAGTGCAGTCCGGGCACAGTATCCCCCCCAGCTCAGTGGTTTGAGCATTGGCCTGCTAAACCCAGGGTTGTGAGTTCAATTCTCATGGAAGCCATTTGGGGCAAAAATTTGCCAGGGATGGTACTTAGTCCTGCTATGAAGGCAGGGGACTGCACTCAATGACCTTCAAGGTCCCTTCCAGTTCTATGAGACAGGCAATCTCCATTATTTTTTTTTATCAGTTCAGGAGGAAAAGTGTGAAACCTCCTTTGTTTAATAGAAAGGAAATGAATTTCCCAACCCACAGCTCTTCAGAGCTACTGCAAAATAACTGCCTGCAACTACTTGTGGACCCTTGTATGGACAGCAAGCCCTGGTTTGATGCTGTATCATTGTGGTGTTGTGTCTTTGCTGTTGGTGGCCTTGTGTGGGTGGTGATGTGTTACCCACTTAGATTGTCAGTGGGAAGAAGCCGTCCTTTCCATCACATCACTCTGGAGTCTAGGGTTGTTGAACTGGGGCTGTGCCCCATTGGGGCAGCGTATTACTGATCTTACCCCTAGCTGCATTCGGCCTCGTGACTCTTACAAGGGGGAAGTCCCACAGCAGTCTTTGTGGCAATGTAAGCAGCAATAGAAAGGGCATCAGTTACACATTGGGAGAGCAGACAGCTGAGCAGCGTGACTCCTACAGAGCTGCCATGCTGAAGGTGTGCGAAACTTTTTAAATTAAAAGTGATTTTTTTCTCTCTCCCCCCCCCACCTTTCTCTGCACGTGCGCCCCCCACCCCCTGATCGCCATTGATCACAAAAGCAGGTTGCCACTCCCGACGTGGAAAAGAAAATCGAGGAATACAAGCGAGAGAATCCAGGGATGTTTAGCTGGGAAATCCGGGACCGGCTCCTGAAGGACGGGCACTGTGACAGGAGCACTGTTCCCTCAGGTGAGAAGGCAGCTTGGCAAGCAAAACACACCCGGGGATCACAAGCCAGACAGAAATAGATCCAGGGGAATGATTATCTGCACCCCCCCTCCTCCAGTTCATCCAGCGGCTACAAAACACCCTCTTGC